GGGGTCGCTATGAGTCGGGGCCGACTCGATGGCAAATAACAACAACAACAACAATGGGCTATACTACAGTTTCCAAGCTGCTTTTCAATACATTAATTGATTATATTGGGAAAATCTGATGTCACCCTGAGGCGACTCTTGGCAGGAGCCTTTCACACCCACCTGTTCATTTCTCCCTCCTGTGTGGCTGGGTCTGGTAGGAAGGCCCTGTTAGACTACAATCTTAATAAAATCAGATTCTTTTTATCAGACTAGACCTCTGGCTGGGATGCAGGGGCAAAATAATCAGGACGAATGTGTTCTCATCATCATGATACACATGCATCAGGGCAAGGACTGGGATATAACACATCACTCAAGAAACATTGGCATCAGGTCGATTCTGACTCATGACAGAAATAGGTTCAAGTAAGAACTTAGCCACGGAGCTTTTTTTCTTTTCCCACAACCTTATTAAACATTATTGATACGGCTGGTACACTGGTGTATCTGTTTTCAATTGAAAAGATGCTACCCTCCCCCCAAAACACAAAACAAACTCCAGGAAAATAGATTCCCCCACTGCAAAGAATGGCAGTTATTTAAGTCTCTGGTTGTTTTATTATTATGGGGGAAAGGGCTCTACCTCTTTACCTGCACTACGAAAACCAACTATCTGGGCTAATTACTTAAGTATTTGTATTATGTTTCATGGCCTTTTAATGATATCCTTATTCCTTTTGTTTGACTAAAAATGTTATGGTTAAAAATAGGAAATGCATTGTGTATAAGAAACTGAGGTTCCGCATGAAGGCAAGCGAGTGAGAGAGAGAAAAAGAGGATGAAAAAGAGAAAACCTGTGCGTGCCTCATTGGCAGAAAGGAATAAGGGATGTTTCTCTCCCCTTCTCTGATCTTCTTCCATGTTCCACACCAACAGCTGAAATAACTTAAGAGGAGAGTATGTCTATAGGTACAAAGGTGGCTGAGTTTTGTGAAGCAAGGGATCATGTGCTGTTCAGAAAGTCACAGCCTTTCTCACGTGGAGGTGAGAGGACTCACTCTCTCACTCAAGAAACTTGACTTTGGACAGACAGAGTAACCCCTCACAGAGAGCCAGACACACTGTGGGAGAGAGATCCAATGGACCTACCAACTCAGGACTATAGTACTGGGGGACACCAGATTCAATTGGCGCAACAAAATACATAAAAATCTTGTTCCTTATCCTACATTGATGAGTAGCGACTGGGGTCTTAAAAGCTTTCAAGCAGCCATCTAAGATGCAGCTAATGGTGTCCTATCATTGGAAGCAAAGAAGAATGCAAAAAAACCAAGGGCATTTGGAAGCAATCAGCCCTAGGACACAATGGCCCTTGAGACCAGAAGAACTAGATGGTGCCTGGCTACCAATGCCAACCACTCAGGAAAGGGTCAGATCTGGAGATCCTGGATAGAATGGGAGGAAAAACGTGGAACAAAATCCAAAAACTCAAGAATGACCAGAATTACTGGTTGAATGGAGTCTGGTGAGACCCCCAATACTATGGCCCTGGGATACATTCTGGGTCTGGAATAAAACTCACTCCCAGAGACTGGCTCTCAGCCCAATAGTAAACAAGATGTACATGGAGTAGACCACTTAACCCAGGGTGACACACCCACATACTCTATGGAAATGCATCCCTTGGAACAATCGACCATAGGGCACCAGAGGGGCAACATTCGCACGGAGGAAATGCAGGACAAACAGGAGTGCATAACTATGAGGGGCGTGGGGGGGCAGTTACTGGGTAGGGAGGGGAGGAGACTAGGTTAGGGTTGGGGATGGTAAATGGGGAGTGAAACTAAATGTAAATGAAATGTTGAATGTAAAACAAACTGCTCTGTGGGAAAAAAAAAAAACTTGACTTTGGGCAACCTATTTACCTTTTCTAGTCATTAGTTTCCTGGCACCTTTGGATTAAGGTACTTAAAACACATACCCCCTGTAGTAGTTAAGTTTGTGTGTCAACTTGGCTAGGAGCTCTGGTGGCATGGTGCCTAAGGCATCTGACTGCTAACCAAAAGGCTGGCAGTTCAAACCCACCAGCCACTCCTTGGAAAGACGACTGGGCAATCTACTTCTGTAAAGATTTACCGTCTTGGAAACCCAATGGGGGTTGCTATGAGTCAGATCAACAGCAGTGAGGTCAACTTGGCTAGGCCTGGTTGAGTGGCTGAACAACTGAACGTAGTTATTCCCCATAGTAAGACTGGTCATTAACTCCATGGTGGAATCTACTAGGAACAGCTGAGTAGCTGCCTTTGGGTATGTAGTCTGCTTCCCGTATGTAAGGAATAGCTTTGGGAACAGTCTCTAGCTTATGGCATGCTTGAACCCTGCATGTAGCCGTGTCATTGTTCAGCAGCCTGCCATTCTCTGCTGACCTTGGGACTTACAGTGGACTTGAATTAATGACCTGCTGTGTGGTTTGGTAACATCGGGACTGTGCCTTTTTACTTGTCAAGCTTGGGCCTGTTAGCCTCAGCAGACAGCAGCTGAGTGAAGAAAAGCCTCCAGATTCAATGGGCCAGGAGCAAGAGGCAGAGCTGAAGCCCAAGGCTGAGGGGCTTTTACCCAGCCCCTAGAGCCTGACACTTTGAACTTGGATTTAAAGCCTCCAAACTGTGAGAGAATAAACTTCTGTTTGTTAAGGCCATCCCATTTGTGGTATATTCTTGTCAGAGTGGCACTAGGTAACCAAAACATCCCCTAAAGACCTTTTGGAGAGTAACCACCCTTGATTATGAAGGTAAGCCCTGAGTGGGAGTATGGCAACTGTGGCCTCTCCCTCTCAGTAATGGCCAGAAGTAGTGGACTCCTGGGGCTACCCCACCCTAACCCATCACCTCCCTTTCACTACATTCCTCATCCTGCCAACCCCATCCATGCACACAGGCAGCCGTGATGAGCACCCAAGTCACATCTGTACTAAGGGAATTACAGGTTCATGCCACTCACCTGCATACAAGAATAAAACTACCTGACACATCTTAAAAACTTTTCATCATATTTGACCATCATAACAATCCTGTACTTCAGAGAAAAGGCTACATATTCCACAAGTCACTTAAATGATACATCTTTCAACCACTTACTTGGTGAGCACCAACTCATGAAAGCATCAACATCACACAGTCAAGGCCCTGTTAATGGCATCCCTTTGCACAGATTTCTTAGCTCTCTCCAATTGCAGGACTCTGCCTATAGTGATAATAAACTCATCTGACCTGCTTAGCCCAAACAAAATAGGAGAAATTCTCTCTGGACGCCACCTGCCTTTGATTTGAATAGCAAACATTCTCGAAGCGTGTTTAGCTTGAACGGTATGACCTGCATTTTCAAAGCCCCTCCTTGGACACTGATGACACAGAGAGCTTTACAGCAAGGCTGCTGTGGAGGGCAGGGCTCCAGCCAAACAGGGCACCCTCAGGTTTATCCTCTCTGGGGCTGAGGTTTTCTGCAAGGCCATGCAAACCTGCAACTGGCCCAAGGCAAACAGCATCTGCTCACTTCTCAAGGAGTCCGTTCACCTGGATTCATTGGGCTTGGCCTGATCACACAGAATGATGCTCAACGTGGGCCCATGAAAACCATGTGCATCGAGGGCCAGAACGAAAGCTTCCCATCTACAGCCAACACCCCAGGAGTTCACATTTACACCGCGGGAGGGAACGTCTGTTTACCTTATTGATGAGAGTGACTATGTCGCCTTCTTTGATTGTCAATTCATCGTCGTTCTGTGCCTCATATGGAAATATGACTTTGCAGTAATCCTTGGCTGTAGGAAGAAAGAAAACACAACCTTTAAAACACTTTATCTAATGAGCTGGCCCAGGAGAGGCTGTTCTTTATCACACTAATTTCAGGAAAAAGCACGCTGAACAGGTAGCACAGGGCCACTGCATAAAGAGATGGTCATCTTCAGAAAACGACCTAAGATTGCTCATTTTTGGCTCATGCATGTTTATTCTCTTCATTTTTTCCCCCTCACAACCCACGTGATGTCATGAAATGCCACTGACTACTGAATTTCTCTCAGACAGAAAAGCAAAAATGTTTCCTTGGTCTGGAGAAAACAGACAAACAGACTTATACTATTTTACATAATATTTGGATGTATGCATAAGCTGACACAATCTACAAAGAGCAAAAACTTCAACTTTGCCTCGCTGTCTTCTTCCCTATAACACTAAGTGAGGAACAGGGGATCTGTCTACGTCACAAAGCTGACGTAGCACATATAACAATGAAAAACATTCCTACTGTGGCATGTCTTCAGAGTCAGATGTTGATTTGTTTGCATGCGAACACATGTATATAAATTTGCACTAATCAACAAATACTGATCAAATATACACACGTGTGTGTGTGGTGGGGGCTGAATTTATTCAGATATGTCCCACGGTCTCCCTGTGGGAATCTGCCTATTCACAGATGGAGCCACTTATCAGCAAATAAAGGTTCCAGTCTTCTCAAAAGAGGGACAAATACTAAGGCTGCTTAAAATCTATTCAAATAGGTCTGAATTAGATGCTTTTGAAAGTCTATTTAATGATATAAATGTTAAAACTTCTCTGATTACACAAAAGTACCAGTAAAGAAAACAGTAAAAATACTTGTAACATAGTTGGGAAGTTAAGACTTGGATAACTAGGGTTTGAAGACGAGAGAGAAGGTAGAAAAAGAATATGAGACAATCAGTATCTACTGGGACAGGCATATTATTCTGCATCAACATCAACAATCCTAATGACTTTGGATGGCTTTAGATATTTCCCATGGATTGGGCCAGTTCCTGAAGACAGATCATAACCTAGAGCTATATATGTAAGTATCAATTATATTGTCCCTGTTGCTGTTGTTGTTGTTGTTGTTATGTTCCATCGAGTCGGATCCAACTCATAGCAACCCCTCCTTGGGTTTCCGAGGCAGTATCACTACAGAAGTAGATTGCCTCATCTTCCTTCCAAGGAATGGCTGGTGGGTTTGAACCGCCAGCCCTCTGGTTAGCGGTCAAATGCCTTGGGCACTATGCTACCAGAACTCCCATATTGTCCCTAGTACAATTTATATCACTGAAATGTATTTATTATGGTTAATATCCTATCAATCAAAGAAAGTTATATAAGAAATACAGTCAATTAAAAAATCCATAATACAGATACACTGTATTACAGGTTGAGATATGAGACTGAGAGAGTGAGAACATTATACATGGTTTGGTTTTTGGTCAAATGGCTTGAAGCTATCAGTCACACTCCCTGCCCTAGTGCTGGAAACCTTAGGTCTTATGTACTCTGTACCTTGATGGCTTCTAATCATTAACTAACCTATGTTAAAATCCCATCAATACCAAACAAAACAAAACCAACCTCATTGTTGTCAAGTTGATCCCAGCTCATAGCAACCCTATAGGACAGAGAACTGCCGCATAGGGTTTCCAAGGCTGTAAATCTTTATGGAAGCAGACTGCCTCATCTTTCTCCCATGGAGTGGCTGGTAGGTTCACATTGGCAACCTTTCAGTTAGCAGCCAAGCACTTTAACCACTGTACCACCAGGGCTCCATCAATATCAAAATGCCTACTAAATATTTTGAAGTCCACCAACAGTCTATCTCCCTTTAATGAGTAATAGCAAACCTCCCAAATTCTGAATCAGTAACATGTTCTAAAGGGAAGGAAAAAGTTAAACATTTTTAAATTGGATAATGACAGCTCCTTACCAATTTTCCTATTGACTGTGCTAGTGAAATATGACTATCCAAACTCAAAACTTGCAACACTGAAACAAATACAGTATCATTGAAGAAGTGCCCTACAAAGTCCTGACTTGAATAATTCTTTGGATGGAAACCATGGAGACAATCTGCAGAAAACATCAGACACCTATGGCCAACAAAGAATGAAGGAGCAGGTCACGTTTCCATTTATTTCAGTCAAAAAAAAAAAAAAAAAAAAAGCTAATGAAATATGGTAGACATTGTTAGTTGACTACCCAGCAGTCAGACTCCACTCCCTTCTGAGTACACAGAATCGTCACTTGTTCAGGCGTGATTTTCAGAAATAGAGAACCCTCCTATAGCCCCAAGGATGAGTAAAACATGTCTAAGTAAATTATGTTAGTTTCATTCTCATTGGTCAGTGATTATTTCCTGGGTGGGCATGTGATCTACTTCTAGCCAATGAGATGTGAGGGCAAATCTGTTGGAAAGGGGTTAGATTTTGGCCCCTGATAAAAAGAGAGACCTGAGGAAAATAGTTACTCCTGCCTTTCTGAATTCCAGCATTCATGGAAGATAGCACACTGTTTGGCACTGTTACAGCCATATTTCAACCATGAGAAGACCACCAAGAATACAAGAGTGGAATGGACCCTGGGCCCTGACACTGTTGAGCTGTCTGGAGAATTAACCAACTTCAAGGGGGGCTGCCTCTGGATTTCTTGTTACATGACTTCATAACACTATTGCTTAACACTACTTTGTGATCCAGGTATTCATTACTCAAAAGTAGAAGGGCACCTATCCTGCTATGAAGGAACTCGGTAGAAGAAGGGGAAATTTCCAGTTACCTCCTCCCAAAAACTTAACTACAGTCTGACAAAATAAATAAATGAAATAAAAACAGCCTCTTCCTATATATCTTTTTCATTCCCCTTTACCCCCAACTCCTCCCTTGCAACATCAGGACCTGCCATATAGTATGGGGTCAAAACATGACCGTCGAATTGACTTATAGCCAACACAGTGAGAAAACATTAACAAGAAAACACTATATATCATGCCTTTAAAATGTTTCACAGGGCCATTGTGTTTCAGGTTCATAATTTCCCTACAGGCTAGAGAAGGCAGGTGTTCTCCTGATTTTTTTTTTTTTTAAATAGCTTCAACAAAACATAATTTAGATACCAAAAAATTCACCCAATTTGAACATTCAGTTTAATGAATTTTAATACATTAGCACAGTTGTGTGATGACCATCACCATAAACCAGGTTTAGAACACTTCCATCACCCCAGCTATGCTGGTCTCTGGGTGAGGTATTGGATATGGAATTACCTGGTAAGCACCAGAAAGGAGAAATTTTAGATAAAAGGAGGAGGTACTTGAATAATGTCTTGCCCCTCTTTGTGTCCCCAGACCTTGACATAGGGCTCCTACTCCATATATCTAGATGATACCCAAGTGACATCTATATTGTGGAGAAACATTTGAGGGGCAGCAAGTCAGGAGAGGATTCTGAGCCAAGAGTCAGGAAACTGAAGACTGGGTTATGGTCCCAGTTGGGCTCTCCCCAGCATGAGATCTTAGACAATCACACTGCAGCTCTGGCCTCCACATCCTTGTCTATAAACCGAGGGACTGGACAAGGAGAGGCATGATGAGAGTTTGGTTAGCTTCCACAATTTATTTAAAGCAGCTAAAATGTTTTAGCAAATTGTCAAATGAAAAACAAATTTAAATGTATTCCAGAACTCCAACATAAAACAACAAAAAGCAGAGCTGCTCTGGTTCAACTGGAGAGTAGGGCTGTCCCATTTCCCACCCAGGTCCCCAAAAATATAACAGTGAAACTCTGGGGGCTCCGAGAACACCCTGGGCTGAAACTGATGCTGCCAGCTCCCCCATTTCATGATTCTAGTCAGAGCCACTCTCAACCAGGGCTCCTGACAAAACAAGACAACTATCAGCTTCACTCTTTAATTTATTGCTATATATTTTAAAATAAGAATTTAGTTTTACTTACAAGGCATTTGGGCCCTAATTCAGCACTGTTTGAAAATAAAAACATTATT